CCACAAATTCCAGCTTCTCTTTGACCTTTGGTCGGGGTGGGTGTCAGACACAATAACCTCCTGAGCAGTTGGGGAACAGATCACCCACTGTAAGCTCTAGTCCCCAGATCCTTCCAGCTGTAGGTAGGCATTTCAGTTAGATGAAACCTATGTGGCTTTCTTCACCTAAAGTTACAAAAATAATTGAGATTTGTAAAACTAAAACAATAGACAGAACTATAATAACATTTTTAGTTTACATAATTTTTTTTTGAGAGATTTTCACTGTAGGGCGCGTGCGCTCGCCAGACAGACAGAGAGAGACATAGAGACAGAAAGCGAGAAATCACCCCCCGGGGGGGATGGTCACGCCGCAATCCCTTCTCCTCCATTCTCCTCTCGGGATCTTGGGCACGCACACACATGCGTCCGGCGTGAGTTTTAAGCCACCGGGTCCGGGACACGAACCGCGGTCGACTACGTGGGAGTCCAGCGACATAGCCATTACGCTAACTGCTGGTTCCCTAGTTTACATAATTTTATAAAACTCTCTCGCCTGTTTATTTTTAGCCTACATTGTGTAGTTCCTCTTAATAATAATGTACTTTGAATGTTAACTTTAAATATTTAGCTTTGCTCATAATGTGGTCTTTGTCTTTCCGGCAGCTCCTTGCTCTGCCATGGCTTACCACCATGACAGCAGACGGATATTTGTGGGCCAGGATAATGGAGCCATAATGGTAGGTAGCTTCTGAATATGTTCCTTATATTCTTTATATTGACCTCCCCCCGTTCACATGTATTGAAGAGTTTAAAGTTAACAATGGACACTGAGTGAGTGACATAAAAAGCGTTTAATTCGGTATAGATATTAGGTCTAAAATGAGTAGTTTTAATTAGTGTTTAATTGTAAACTAGTGCTGTGGACCTCAGAATCTTCTCATGACTAATGGCTTGGTGCTTGGGCCAGTCCACAGAGCACAGCCTTCATACATGAATATAAGATCCATGGTAGTCTCCCTTCCTTACCACGGTGGTGAACAGCCTTTGTCTGTCTGTGTGAGTGAGTGAGTGAGTGAGAGAGAGAGACAGAGACAGAGAGATGAGCTGCATCCCATGTGGTCAGCCACAAAGGGAGACAAGGTTAGGGAGCAGCCATTAAGTCAACAACTCAAGTAATTCCTGAAAGCACTGCATCTCAAACTCTTTGGTGAAAGACCAGATGTTTATATTTTCAGTCTATTATAGAGTGGTGTATTTTATGCTTATGCAAGGGGACTTCTAAACTTTGAAATCTATGCATAGTTTTGTTTTTTCCATTTTTAGAGGTTTTTGCCATAGGGCGCATGTGCTTACTGACGAGACAAAGACAGTGAAAGGGAAAGTGAGAAATCATCCTTTTTCTTCCATTTTCCTGGGATCTTGGCCATGCATGTACATGCGCCTGGCATGATTTTCAAGTCACCGGGTCTAGGACCTGAACCATGGTAGGCTATATGGGAGTTCAGTGACATAACCACCATGCCATCTTCTGGCCCCAATGCATAGTTTTTCATCATATGTATTTTCTGTGAACTTTTTGAAAATCCCCCATCCTTATTTTTTAAGTGAGAAATGATTAATATACCATAATATTCACCATTTTAAAGTGTACAATTCCATAGTTCTGTAGTATATTCACAAGATTATGTAACTATTAACTCTCTCTGATTCTAGAATATTTCATTAATCCCCAGATAGAGCCCATAGTTATTAACAGTCACTCCCATTTTCTTTTTTTTCTTTTTTTGGAGAGGTTTTTGCTATAGGGCGCGTGTGCTCGCCAGACAGACAGAGAGAGACAGAGAGATAGAAAGGGAGAAATCACACCCCAGGGGGGATGGCCACGCTGTAATCTCTTCTCCTCCATTCTCCTCTCGGGATCTTGGGCACGCACGCACACGCGCCCAGCTTGAGTTTAAGCCACCTGTTCCGGGACGCGAATCGCAGTTGACTACGTGGGAGTCCAGCGACATAGCCATTACGCTAACTGCTGGTCCCCAGTCACTCCCATTTTCTGTTCCCCTTCTCCCAGCTCCTGGCAATCACTAATTTACTTTCTGAGTCCACAGATTTGCCTATTCCAGACATTCTATGTAAATAGAATCATACAATCCCTGAAGCCTTTCGTGTCTGTCTTCTTTCACTTAGTGTAATTTTTCAGGGCTCATCCATGTTATAACTTGAATTAGTGACTTCATTCCTTTTGTGATGGAATAGCAGTCTATTACATGCATACATACACTGCACTTCTTTTAGTAATTGATTAGTAGATGGACATTTGGGCTGTTTTCATTCTTGGCTATTGTTTACCTATTGTACTCTTCAGTTGTTTTGACTCTTTGGTTACTATAAGTAATGCTGACATAAACATTTGTGTATAAGTTTTTGTGTGAACATCTTTTTAATTCTCTTGGTGATATACCTAGAAATGGAATTGCTGGGTCATACATTAATAATGTTTAGCTTTTTTTTTTTAAGAATTACTTTATTTAAATTCCCTTATTTATTCTTTTTTTAAAAAAAACAATTTGACCAGACAAGGACAGAGTGAGAGTGAGAGTGTGAAAGAGAGAGAAAGTGAGAAAGCAAGCCACCAGGTCCAGGACTTGAACCGTGGCCGGCCATGTGGAAGTCCAGTGTCCTTAACCACCATGCCACCTGCCAGCCCCAATATTTAACTTCTGAGGAACCTCCAAACTGTTTTCTAAAGTGGTTGTCCCATTTTACATTTCCATCAGCAATGTATGAATGTTCCAGTCTATCCATACTGTTGGGAACACTTGTTACTTTCCATTTTTGCTTTACTTTTTAAAATTTAATTTAATTTAATTTATTATTATTTCTTAACTTGACGAGAGAAAGACAGAGAGTGCATGTGTGTGAGAGAGAAAGAATAAGGGAGAGTGTGCATAAGTGAGAAAGCAAGCCTCCAGGTCTGGGAGTTGAACCATGGTCTGCCACACGGGAGTCCAGCACCTTAATACTTTGCCACCTGTCCCAACTTTGTTTTGTTTTTATTATGGCCATCCTAGTCCATGGGAAATGGTATTTCAATGTCGTTTTTATTTATGTTTCTCTAGTGACTAGTTATGCAGACCATCTTCTAATGGGCTTGCCGGTTATTCGTTTATTTCCTTTGGAGAAATATGTATTTGAGTCTTCTGCCCCATTTAAACTTTTATTATTATTGTTATCTTTGAATTATAAGACCTTTTTATGTGTTAGGTACTGAGCCCTTATCAGATACATTATTTGAAATATTTTCTCCCAATCTAAAGGGTGTCTGTTTGCTTTTTTAAAGTTTGATGAAGAACAATATATTTTAAAATTTTTCCTTGCTTATACTGTAGATATCATACGTAAGACTAGTCCCCTAGTCTAGTGTTAAGGGAGCTGGAACCCATGTAGCCAACCACAGCTCAAATCCCAGCCCTGATGATTTAAAATACACACCAGACACATGTGCATGTACACCCAAAATTCAAAATGACAGGATGAAGACCAGAAAAAGGAGATTACAATGTAACCATGCCCCACAGGGGACTTTATCCCTCTTCTTCTCTCTGACAATTATAAAAAAAGTTGCCTAGTTCAATGTTGTTTATATTCTTTTTTATTTTATTTATTTATTTTTTTTGGAGAGGTTTTTGCTATAGGGCACATACGCTCGCCAGAAAGACAGAAAGAGACAGAAAGTGAGAAATTGCCCCCAGGGGGATGACCACATCAATCCTTTCTCCTCCATTCTCCTCTTGGGATCTTGGGCATGCACACACATGCGCCCAGCGTGAATTTAAGCTACCGGGTCCAGGACTCGAACCGCGGTTGACTATATATGGGAGTCCAGCGACATAGCCATTACACCAACTGATGGCCCCTATGCCCCCCTTTTTCTTCTAGATATAAATAAGAGTTTCATAGATTAGCTTTCACACCTGGATCTTTGATATATTTTTAGTAAATTTTTATGTATGGTGTGAGATAGGATTCTACATTCATTCTTTTGCTTGTGGATATCTGGCTATCTCAGTACCATTTGTTGAAATGACTGTTTGGGCCTTTATGGAATTGTCTTGATATCCTTGTCACAGAGCCAGCCAGGGAGAGAGCTAGGAAGTTTTCAGAAGTGAATGTTTTATGAGGAGTCCAGGTGGAAAGGACGAGGTTGAACTGGCTAGGTGGTACTGAGCAATGGGGAAGGATGCTGAGCAGTTGAAGTGGGCAGAGGCCAGCTCATGTAGGGCCTGGTGTTTGGTTGAAGTTTTAAAGTTTATTATAAATGCAATGAGAGACTCTTACGAGGTTTTCAGCAGTAAAATGACTGGAGGTAATTTATATTTGTAAAAGACCCCTCTATCTGTGGGGAGAAAATGGATGGAGGGGGCAGCAAGAGTGGAGGTGGGAGAGTTGGGTGAGAGGACCAAGGCAGTGAACGTGGATGGCAGTGGTTGAACCGGAAAGGCATCTTGGGTACATCTGTCAAAGTTTGGGTCCGGGGAGGGGAGGAAGTGGAGGTTGGGAACTGCAAAGTTTTTAGAATGAGCAGTTAAGTGGGCAGTGGTATTATTTACTGAGAAAGGAAAGCCTTAGGGGCTTGTAGGGAAGGGGCAGTTGAGAAAGGGCACAATGAGGAATCAGCTGCAGGTGTGAGATACCAGGGACAACATCCAGATGGTGCTGGAAGCTGGCTGCGGATCATAGCCCAGAGCCCCAGGGTAGGTCTGGGTAGGGAAGGCAGCAAGGCATAGCCTATTTTCAAGCCATTAGAATGACTGTGACCTCCAGTAGAGAGATAAGACAGGACCCAGACCTGGGTCCTAAGTAACTCTAACATTTAGGCTTGGAATTAAAGGGGAAGCTAGCCAGGAGAGAGGGAAAATGATGGTCCTGAAGAATGATATTAAGGAAACCATCTCCTGTAGTCAAAGCTTGCCTAACTTGCGCAGTCATACAGATTATCTAGGGATCATCTTATTAAATATATATTTCCTGGGACTGGCCCGTTAAGGGCACTGGATTCCCACATGGCCGACTGCAGTTTGAGTCCTGGACCTGGTGACTTGCTTTCTCACTTTCCCTTTCTCTCTCACTCTGTCCCTTTCTGGTCAAATTAAAAATAAATAAAGTTAAATAAAATAATCCTTTAAAATAAATAAATAAATATACACATACATATTTCCATGGTAGACCTACAACCTTAGAACCCCTAGAGAGGGGCCCGGGAATCTTTATTAGGTGGTTAAATGCTTTCAGAAGACACAGTGAGGAGCCATCGAGGAGCAGTAGGCAGGGGATGGTGTCGCAGTCAGATTTCTGGGTTTTGTCTGTCTGTTCAGTGTGCCAGTGTGTAGAAGAGGAGCCCCAGGAGCCAGCACTGAAATTGGGATGCCAGAGAGACTATTTCGGGGCCAAGAAAGAGACCAGAAGACACTGGGGTAGTGGTGAATACGATATAATGGCCTCAAGGACTATCTGGGAAGCAGGACTTGACATTTAATTCGATGTGGGTATAGAGATTAGTAAAGAGTAGCATGAAGCTCATTTTCAGATTTCTAGCCCAAGAGGCTTGCTGCCCTCAGAGGCAGAAAAATATGCTGCTATGGGGGAATGGTGATGGGTTTGGTTTTGACATCGACGACCTGAGCCTGAATCTCTTGGTCTGAGCTGGGTTTGGGAATTTTCTGGATAGATGGTGTCAGTGGCTGACATGAGCAAGGAGAAAGTGGGTAGATTAAGAGCAGAGAGCCAAGGTCATGTTCCCTGGGGAGTTTCAATATTTAAGAGACATAGAGGTCTAGGAGCCCACAGGAGAGATGGAGGCAGGGTGGGCAACCTGGGAAGAGGCCCAGCCAGGATGGTGCCTCCATGGAAGCTGGAGGGGCGGTGAGTGAAGGGCGATAGCAGTGTCAGGGGCAACAGAGAGGGGAAGAGATCAGGACAGAGTGTGACCTTGGGGGTGGCAATTGGGAGGTAGCCAGTGAGAGCAGGGAGACCCTTCCACAGAGATGGTGGAGCCCTGGAGCACAGGGAACTGAAGAGCACCAGGTGGTGAGGAGCTCAGCCTGAGGGGAGTTGGTGAGGGCAAGAAAGGGGCAAGGAATATTGTAGTATGGCCTGAAGAGTTTCATTGGTTTTGTTTGCTTGTTTTTAATTAAAGCATAAGGCAAGAAGAAAGAACTAGTAGAAGGGACAGTCTCCCTGCCCAAGCAGTATTTTCCCCCTCTCTTCCCTCCCCTTCCCTTCCCTTCCCTTCCCTGCTCTTCCCCCCCCTCCCCTCCCCTCCTCTCCTCTCCTACCCCCTCTTCCCTCTCCCCTCTCTCCTCTTTCACTCTTTTTTTTTTTTTTTAAATTTACTACACAGCACACACTCTCTCCAGAGAGACACGTGGGAGTGGGTTGGGGGGAGGAGTGAGAAAGCAGCCACCAAAGGGGATGGCCATGCCACAATCCCTTCTCTTCTGGTCTCCTCTCAGGCTTTTGGACATGCACACACATGTGCCTGGTATGTTTTTCAAGCTGTTGGGTCCAGGACTCAAACCACATAGTCTGCCGTGTAGGATCCAGCCACTGTAAGTGCCACACCACCAGCTGGGTCCCCACGCAGTTCTTTACACAGCAGTATACAGGCGATGAGGGCTGCTGGAAACACGATATAGTCACGAAAGCCAGAGGTCTCTTTTTTCTCCTTCTCGCCCCAGATCATATAGGAATATCATGAGGATGTGTGTGCACATGTAAAAGCGGCAGCCAGGAAGTACAGGCTTCAAGCGGGTTCTCCAGTGGTGCTGGTGTTTTGCATCTGTCTCCCTAGGGACATTTCGGGTGCGCGTGGCTCAAGGGAACACCTTACAGTCAAAGGACAGCACCGAAAACTCTTACAGCTCTTCAATGCATAGGGGCAATGTAAATCCAGTTTAGCATTAGTTTTGCAATAGATCAAATGATCTTCTACCATTAATGCAGATTTATACATAAGCGCTTTACATTTTCATATTTTGCTAAAATCAGTTGAGAACAAGAAGTTTGTATCCCATTGTGTATATGTATGTATGTATGTCTTTGTGTGTGTGTTTCTTACTCTGGTCAGTTAATAATTTATGATGGTCATGTTATCTGGAGCCATAAATACTTACCAATTTAACATTGATTAATAGATTTTTAAAAAACATTTTTGCCAGAGCGTACATGTGCTTGCCAGAGAGAGGGGGAATCCCCACCCCCATCCCAGATGGAGCCAGGCCATGGCACAGTCCTTTTTTCTGTATTTCTCATCTCGCCAGGATTCTGGGCCACATGCATACGTGCCCAGCATGGTTTTTTTTTTTTTTTTAATAATTATTTATTTTATTTTATTTATTCATTCATTTATTTATTAATTTGACCAGAGAGAGACAGAGGTTGAGAGTGAGAGAGAGAGGAAGTGAGAAAGCAAGCCACCAGATTCAGGACTCGAACCCTGGTCGGCCATGTGGGAGTACTCGTCCATGCCACCTGCTGGTCCCCCCAGCATGTTTTATGAGCTGTCTGAGCCAGAATTTGAACCATGGCTGGCTGTGTGGGATTCAGCTGTCTGTGCTTAGAGCCTAACTTTGTGCCACAGGGCTGGCCCTGATTGATAGTATTTTTAATTAGTACTTTTTGTTTTATTTGTTGTTAGACAGGGTCTCCCTGAGTCACAGTCTTCCTGGCTTAGCTTCTCTAGTCTGGGGCTGCAGGCAAAGTCTGACTGTGTTCCCCAGGCTGGCTGCACGCTGTGGTCCTTTCGCCTCCGCCTCCCCAGTTGCTGGAATTACAGGTGCACGCTGCTACTCAGAGTTCTGATGGGCCGGGAACTGAACCAGGGCCTCCTATGGGATCTTACCCTGTCACGTAGCAATGTCAGTCAATGCGTGTCATAGTTGGGCCTTTAGAGTTCTGTTTATCTGCTTAGTTTTATGCTGAAGCTTATGAATCATGAAAAGCAAGTCGTTTTTTACTTTTATTGTCAGAGGGTATACGTACTTGCTAGAGAAAGACAGAGAGGGAGAGGGAGAAAGCATGTTCTCAGTAGAGTATGGTCGTGCTGCACTTTCTTCTCCATTTCTGCATCCCATTTGGATTTAGGGTACACACCCATGCCTAGCATGTTTTTCAGGCCACTGGGGCCAGGATTCTAACCATGGGGATTTTAGCTCCTTTAACCACAGGTTCAAGAGCATATGTTTTGTTTCTTCTAAGTTTTAAAATATTGCATAGCCTATAGAAAATTTGGAAGATACAGGAGTAGAAAAAGACAGGGAAAAACACCTGCAATCTCTCAGTGCCTCAGTTTTGGTGTGTTGCAGTGTGTATGTATACTTCCCTCACTGTGTTGCTAAGTTACCTGATACTTAATTTTTAGCTTTTTTTTTTTTTTTTTGAGAGGTTTTTGCTATAGAGCGCGCACGCTCACCAGACAGAGAGAGGCAGAGAGACAGAAAGCGAGAAATCACCCCCCGGGGGGATGGCCACGCCGCAATCCCTTCTCAGTTCTCCTCTCGGGATCTTGGGCACGCATGCATACGCGCCCGGTGTGAGTTTTAAGCCACCAGGTCCGGGACGTGAACTGCGGTCAACTACGCTGGAGTCCAGTGACATAGTCATTATGCTAACTGCTGCTCCCTGATACTTAATTTTTACTATAGCTGGAGAACCCTGTTATTAATGGATCTTTGTAGTTTTGCTTTATATATCTTATCTTGGGGATTTTTTGTGTAGCCAAGAAAGCAAAGTTGACAAAATTTTGCTGTTAGAGGGAGGGAATGTAAAGTGTTCACCTGTGGAGGAAGTACTGGACAAAGCGTCATGCAGGCCAGCCGTTCTTCCTTTTTTCAGTTTGGTCTGGTTCCCAAAAGAAATGATGGTGAGAGCAGGGGTGAGGAAAGGAGCAGTCATGTCGTCCTTAAATGGCTACTCTTAAGTCCCAGGTCTGTGCTGAGCATTTTGGATTTCACTTTGTCTTGGAAATTTCTGTTGTTTTCAAAAACAAAACTGTTTTCTAATTATATGCATTTACTTTTAGGAATTTCATGTTTCTGAAGATTTTAATAAAATGAACTTTATCAAGACCTACCCAGGTAATTCTACAACACACATGCGTTCTTTTCTTTAAGAGAGTTTTTTTTTTTTTTTTTGCTAAAGCGTGCGCGTGCTCACCGGAAAGACAGAGACAGACAGACAGACAGAAAGTGAGAAATCACCCCTGAAGGGGAGTGGCCAGGCCACAATCCCTCCTCCTCCTCCTCTTCTTGGGTTTTGGGCACGCCACTGGGTCCAGGACTTGAACTCCAGCAACGTAACCATTATACCATCTGCTGGTCTCCAAATGCGATCTTTAACACATACTTGCAGATATAGATACATAAAATTAAAACATCATCCCTCATGATCAAAATTAGGTTTTCATGGTAACTTGTGTTTGTTTTTGTTTTGTTTCTTGGTTTGTTTTTTTTGTTTTTTGTTTTTTGGTTTTTTTTTTTAGGCTGAGGTGCATGTGTGCTCACTGAAGAGAGATAGTGAGAGACAGTTAGAAATCACTCCCAGGGAGTATGTCTACACCACAGTCCCTTCTCCTCCATTCCTTTGGGATTCTGGGCATGCACACACTTGTCCTGCATGTTTTTCAAGCTGCCGGGTATGGAACTGAACCACTTAGTCAGCCATGTGGGATTCAGCCTCCCTGACTAACCTCTACACCACCTGCTCACCCGGCGGAAACATTTTATTTTTGTTGCTCCAGTTATGTGAAAGATAGTGATCTTCCCAGTTATGTACCATTCTCTTCCAGCTCATTAATATTTAAAATTTTGTATATTATGTGTATCAGATTTAATTTAACCAGTCTTCTATTACTGCACACGTGTACCACTCCCAGTTTTTGATAACCACACTACTGTGTGTATATAATTTATAGGTACATGCAAACACATAATGTGTGTCTCTGTGTACATAATTTATGGGTGTATACATATGTGCATATGTGTAAGTGTATGTCTAATTTGTAGGTGTATATACTTACATGTGTGTATGTCTAATTTATAGATATATACATACATACATATGTGTGTGTGTGTCCTTGACTATATTCCCACTCTAATCCTGTAATCTAATTACTTCTATTTAAGACAACTTCCTACAGGTGGGATAACAGTCAAACATGACACATTTTTTAATGCTCTAGATTTACTTTGCAGGCTGCTTCCCAGCTCCAGTGTGCGTGCACACAACCCCATGCATAGTGGCGGAGTGCCTGCTCATGAAGTCTTCCCACGTTCCTGCCTTCTAAACTGTTTCTTGCTAGCTTGATAGTTAAGAGTTCTCAATCTAAAGATTATTTAGGCTTTAATGTCAGCTGTTTGTCATGTTTTGTAATATCTGTAACATATACATTTTTCCAGTTTTTACTTTGCCTTGTAAATTTAGATATTTTTAAACTTAATAAAAGCAAGTCTCCAGTATCAACTGTAGATTGAATTGCAAAGTCAGGGTCCAGCAGATGGCATGGTGGTTAAGGCACTGGATTCCCACATGGGTAGATTGGTTTGATTCCATTACCTGGCAGTTTGCTTTTTCACTTTCCCTATCTCTCTGTCTCTCTTTTTGTCTCTCTTTGGTGAGCACATAAGCCTCTGTAACAAATTAAAAAATAATAATAATAAAAATAGTTCTTTAAAAGCAAACAAAAAAAGAAATTATAAAATCAATGCAATTTGGTTACATTGTGGATTTCCAACAGACCAATGAACGAATTCCTAGAAACATCACCCTAAGGCATAACAGTTACCCTGGTTTTATTCACCTTCTATTTCAAGGATTTCACAGTTTATGCTTGTGCATAAAGCTGAAAATTAGAGTCTATATGGTTTAGATTTTTCCTATATCCTCTTATTAGAACTGAAATATGGTCTAATTTAGTCTAATAATAGGATCACGAAAAAATCTTTGAACTTGAATAAGAAGGCCAAGTTGTTTTTCCCTAGGTATTGTTACCTCTCTTCTAAATTTAAAATAGGAAAAAAGTAATTTATCAATGACATTTGAATTCAAAGTATGTTGCTCAGGGAAACGTTTTTGTGACAGTTAATGAAAGCACTTCCCAGTCTTGCATTGGTGAAGAATGTACAAATGTCACAGTGTCAATACAGGTACAACTTGGACATCTTTGAATTCGTGTCTCCTGTGTTTCTTTTTTTAAATCTGAATTTTTTTTCGTAGTGGTTTTTGTAATGGGTTCCAAACCTTAACCTCTCATTAACTAATAACATTTCTCATCAGAGAGAAACAGAGAGTGGGAAAATGAGAAATCACCCCTCTAGGGAGGATGGCCACATCACAGTCCCTTCTCCTCCTGGGATTTTGGGCACATAGCCTCACAAACCTGGCATTACTTTTCAACCTGCCAGGTCCAAGACTTAAACCTCAGTCATCATGTGGGAGCCCAGTGCCATAACCATTGTGCCACTTGCTGACCCCAAGTTTTTATTTTGCCAATTAAGAGAGTTTAAAAACAGGGGCCAGCAGGTGTCGTGGTGGTTAAGGGCGCTGGACTCCCACATGACCGACCATGGTTCGAGTCCTGGACCTGGCAGCTTGGTTTCTCATTTTTCCTCTCTTTCTCGCTCTGTTCCTTTCTGGTCAAATTAAAATAAATAAAGTTAAATAAAATAACCTTTAAAAAAAAACGAAATACGAGGCAAAATAAGCAGTACCATGTTTTACCATAATGTTGTAAAAGAAGGGACATCTAAAAATAAAGCAGCAGAAAGGGTGTAATTTTAGAAATAAAATAGTCCTTTCCAAGAAAAGATAGTTGACTTCACTTCAGTATCTTTACCACAAACTTAGGTAAAGCTTGTCACTGTCCTGAGTTTGACAATTACAGGTGCAGAGAGAAAAGTGTGTGGGATCAGGCAGACCAGATTAACCTACCATTTATTAGATTTTATGCAGGTGTTTAATATTTGCTGCTTGGTTTTCTTAACTGAAAATGGTATAATATACACCCTAAAAATACACAGATTAAAACTATCATTAATGCAGAAAAAGCACTCAGTCCCATACAGCCACTGAATCAGGTTTTTGCCTGGTTACTCCAGTGTAAGATTAGTAGCTATTAGAGCACCCTTTAAGCTTCAGCCTTCATGCATATTTAATTGTTCAGTGTAACCTCCAAGTTGTGTATGGATTTGACCTTGGCAGAGATTTTATTTGGGAAAGTCCCTCAGTTCCCTGAAGCAGTGTGTACAGCTGACAGCAGCACCAGCAGTTGCTCTGTTGTGTCTGGCTTCACTCATCAGACTAGGTGCTGCTTGAACACCTACAGTGTGCAGGGTCCTGTGCCAGATAAGGTGGCAGGCAGATCACTGCCCTGGTGTGGTCGATACCCAACCTGGAATATTTCAGCAGTTAGGTAATAGAATACATTTGTGTGCACTCTCAGCTATTTATTTTGGAACAAACGTTATACATGCTTTGTCTTTATAAGTAATAAAATATTTTACACAAAAATTTTTCTGGAAACAAAATGTTTAACATTTTTTGTTTTGTATTTAGAGGGATCTTTGCTACAATGGTGCATGAGCTTGCTGGAGGGACAGAGACAGAGAGAAAGCACGGAATCAGTCTCTAGGGTGATGGCCACATCACAATGCTTTATCCTCCATTCTCTTGGGATTTGGAGCATGTTCACACATGTGCCCAGTGTGAGTTTCAAGACACTGGGCCCAGAACTCGAACTGAGATCGGCTACATGGGAGTCCAGCACCTTCACCAGTATGCCACCTACTGGCTACACATAACAATTTTTTAAAAAATTTTAGCTAATTATAGTTGCTCTTATGTGCAGTACCACATAAGAGCATCTTTTTCTTCTTTTTGGGGGGGAGGTGAAGATTTTTGCTATAGGGCATGTGCACTCACCAGTCAGAGAGATAGAAAGTGAGAAATCACCCTCTGGGAGGATGACCAAGCTGCAATCTCTTCTCCATTCTCTAGGATTTTGGGCATGCATGCACACACGCCCGACATGAGTTTTAAGCTGCCAGATCTGGGACTCAAACTGTGGTTGACTATATGGGAGTCCAGCAACATAACCATTATCCCATTTGCTGGTACCCAATGTCAGTGCTTTCTAAAGGGTCAAAACAAGAAACTTAAAGAAAGTAAATAAAAACACTGTTGGAGCCGGTAGGTGAAGGGTTGGTTAAGGCACTGGACTCACATGGTTGACCGTGGTTCAAGTCCCCAACTTGCATCATTACTTTCTTTCTCTGTCCGTCGGTGAGTGCATTTGCCCAAGAGGAAAATAATAATAATAATAATTAAATAATTCTTTAAATAAAAACACTATCAAGAAAAGACTTCTGGGGACCAGCAGGTGGTGTGGTGCTTAAGGCACTGGACACTCCCACATGACCACTGTTCAAGTCTTGGATCTGATGGCTTGCTTTCTCACTTTCCCTCTCTCTGTGTGTCTCTCTCTGGTCAAATTAAAAAATAAATGAATGGATAAATAATTTTGAAAAAAAAAAAAGAAAAGACTGTTTTCCATATGGAACTTATCAATAGGCCAGGTGTTTTTAAAGCAAAGTAAAAATGTTCTCTTGAGTAGAGCAAATGAAGACAAAAAATAGTCTATAATCTATTATTTGAATTGCTTTTGAACATTGCTTTTTTAAAATTTTAATTATGCTTACTAACTTTCTATATGGCACATGTGCTCACCAGAGAGACAGAGAAAGAGACAGAGAGGGAAAGTGAGAAAGCAAGCTACCAGATCCAGGACTTGAACTGCAGTCAACCATGTGGGAGTCCGGCACCTCAAGCACCATGCCACCAGCTGGCCCCAATCATTGTGTTTTAATCATCCATACGTATTTATAGCCTTTCGAAGGAGGAGGCCCAGGGCAGGATCTTGGATAGAGCTCGTGCCAGCATGTCGGGTGGGCGCATCTTCTGCAATCCGCTCACAGGGTAGCATTTCCTCGATGTAACTGTTCAGTGCAACAAGAGCGTACAGGCCAACCAGCCTGAGAGGTCGAGCCTCACTTCTTCCCGACTGTGCAGAACCAGGAAACCACAGACTCTCCTTTCTGTCCCTGCAGCTCATCAGAACCGGGTGTCAGCTATCATCTTCAGCCTGGCCGCAGAGTGGGTGGTCAGCACCGGCCACGACAAGTGTGTCAGCTGGATGTGCACCCGCAGCGGGAACATGCTGGGCCGGCACTTCTTCACCTCCTGGGCCTCCTGCCTGCAGTATCCTTCCGCGCTGACTCTCTTCCTGGGCTTTTTTTTTTCTCTCAAGATTTTGGTTTTTTTAATCCTATCATAGATTGTTAGCTAAGAGTTTAAGATTGAATACATTTTATGCATTTCAGCAAAAATCCAAAACTTTCTGTACCTGCTTTACTTTGGTATAACTTGAGTTTCTTTCTTTCTTTCTTTCTTTTTTTTTTTTTAGAATTATTTCATTTATTTACTTGATTATTATTATTGTTTTCACATGAGTTTGTCAGAGAACGAGAAAGAGAGAGATGAAGAATGAGAAAGCAAGCCACCAGGTCTGGTGAACAGCAGTCGGCCATGTGGGAATTCCAGCGCCTTAACCACCACACTACCTACTGGCCTCTATAACTTGAGTTTATTAAAAATGATAATTAAATGAATTGCTGGTCTCTGCTGGGAATAGCAATGGGCTTTTAATACCAAATTGCGGGAAACCCAACTTTATGCAATCATCTTCCCTCATTTCTTAATGAGAGATTTTATTTTACAAAAAAAGGAGTCAATTTTCTTGTAGTTGCTTATCTGTAGACCTATGAGAGAACAGGCTATATATCAGGAATCTATCCCCCTGGGGTTCATAAATAGGCTACCAGGAATTTTATATAAGACTTACATTTAGTGCTTTTTTTTCCTGTGGAGAAGGTCCATAACTTTTATGATAATCTCAGAGGTGCCGCAGGACCCACCAGAAAGTTAAAAATGACTGCTTTAAAGATTGCCTACTGGGACCAGCAGTTAGCGTAATGGCTATGTTGCTGGACTCCCATGTAGCCTACCGCAGTTCGAGTCCCAGACCTGGTGGCTTAAACTGATGCCAGGCGTGTGTGCGTGCGTGCCCAAGATCCTGAGAGGAGGATGGAGGAGAAGGGATTGTGGCATGGCCTTCCCCTGTGGGGGGTGATTTCTCGCTTTCTGTCTCTCTGTCTCTCTCTGTCTGGCGAGCACATGCGCCCTGTAGCAAAAATCTCTCCAAAAAGAAAAAAAAAAGAGAAATTGCATCATTGACTTTAGGATCAAACGAGGGAAAAATACTCGGATATATTGTGTGCTAAATACATGTTCCTGTTATTCTCCAGGACTCTCATGGGTTTTGGAAAATGGCACAGGATTGCGTAGTTATGGCTTCACTTGTGGTGCTCCTGTTGGCTTGGGTTTTGGACTGACGGTAGTTATCTTGTTGAAAGTAGTAGTTACCCTATTGTGTCTAAATTACTGGTTTTCCACAAATTTCTATCACCTGAAACTGAGAAAGTAATAAGATGTTACCAAGAGTTATAGTTTTCAGATTTACATTTACTAGTTAGTATCATGTGTCATTGTCTTTGGCTAACTCACCTAGGCCAGTGGGAAGGTGGGTTCTTACCCTGTGTTTGCTGTCATTTTGTTTTGTTTTACTTTGCTGTAGGCCAGAGAGAGAGAGAAAAGGAGAAAGTGAGAAATCACCGGCCACACACACACCACACTGGGGCTGGCCACGCTGCAGCAATCCCTTCTCCGTTTTTCTCTCAGAGAGACAGCAAGAAAGAAGTTGAGAAATCACGCCACACGGGTGGGGGGTTGGTCATACTACATTCCCTTCTCCTCCATTCTCTCCTGAGAGAAAGACAGAGAGAGGAAGAAAGTGAGAAAACACCTCTCAGGGGACTGGCTATATCACAATTCCTTCTTCATTCTCCTCTCAGGATTTTGCACACATGTGCACCCACGCCTAGCAGGGTTTTTCAAGCTGCTAGAACTGGGACTTGAACTGTAGTGAGGTCCATATGAGATCCAGCTCCTTGACCACGGTGCCACCTGTTGGCCCTTTGCTGTCAGTTTTAACATCATTTGCAGAGAGATTTCGTATGTAGCTATTTTGTTGCAGTGCAGCTCCCTATTTTTATTACTTGGCAGTTTCACTCTTTGGAAATTTATTATGACTTGATTGTAACTTCTTATTTCATGTCTCTCTTCTCTGGCCACTTTTATCTTTTATCTTTTTTTTTTTTTTTTAATTGCTAGTTCCTAGGGTATTGTTTGGTATAGTAAAAATTACTTCAGGTAATTTTTTTTTTTTTTTTGGAGAGATTTTTGCTGCAGGGTACGTGCGCTCGCCAGAAAGACAAAGCGAGAAATCACCCCCCAGGGGGAATGGCCACACCACAATCCCTTCTCCTCCATTCTCTTCTCAGGATCTTGGGTACACACGCACACGCATCTGGCGTGAGTTTTAAGCCACCAGGTCCGGAACTCGAACGGCGGTCAACTACATGAGAGTCCAGCAACATAGCCATTATGCTAACTGCTGGGCCTAAGGAATTCTTGAATATTAACTTTCCTACTAATTCTAGCCAGTTTAATCTTTTTCCTTCAATATTTACATTTTGTGTGATTTTTCAGTTGAGTATTTTCTTTCTTGTTCCAGTTTTAAATTTCTGTTTAGCTTCTAATTTTGACTAAAGCTGACCTCTCTCTTAGGGAAGGATTTTAAGATGGTCTCTTTATGTTTCCTTGACTGCTGCTCCTCAGATATGATTTTGATACGCAGTATGCTTTTGTTGGCGATTATTCTGGACAGATCACCCTGCTGAAGCTGGAGCAGAACACGTGTTCAGTTATTACCACCCTGAAAGGGCATGAAGGTAGGCTGTGGGAGCTTTTTTTTTTTTAAAACCTGATTTGGGCATCTAAACTCAGCTTTTTTTTTTTTTTTTTTAAACCTGATTTGGGCATCTAAACTCATTTGGATTTGCAGTTTCATGAATGATCAGCTTCTCTTGATTTGTCAGATTTCTATTTGATTGGGCAGAGGGGATTTAGAGGGAAAACTAAGTGAAGCAAGGATGTTGAGCTTGGTTTCGTATTGTCAAAATCTCTTTTAGATACCTCGTGTGGATAATACTTTCTATGTTGCTTACCTTTTAAAATGACTGTTTTCAGAAGACATGTAAAATTTCTTTTAAATGGGAATAGGTCTTTAGAAGAATTACTCTGATGATTTCTTAGTTTGTCGGTTTCCAGGACACTGAGCAGGACATGCTGGGTCAGTACAAATAGAAGAACTGAAGGGACCAGTTCAGCCTCAGCCTGGGGAACGTCCTCTGCGTGGGATGAGGGTAGAAGGACTGGGTGGGATTTCATTACCTCTGTAGTGCAGTGAGTCGGCGAAGCTCTGCACAGGGGCTTTAGAATTTCACTGGTTATGTTGAGTCACTGGCCATGTGCACATGCAGTACAGAGATTTCATTGGATGCTAAGAATGTAGTGCAGTTCTTTTACAGATCACAGGACCAAACTCTGGTGTGAGTCACAAACGACAGGCTTTGAGGCTATCTGGTTTAGTCTGAGGAGTTGGAGGTTAGATGAAAAAAGTAATAACGGATTCGGGACAGTCCTTAGTGTCGCAGATGTAAGAATTTAAATGTTCTTATGCTTTCTAGCTAGTCTACTGAGGTAAATAGAGTATATCAGATCAGGGACCTTGTGGGGGAAAGGAAGAAAGAACCAAGTTAGAGTGGATTTGAGCAGGAAAACAGGCCTCTGAAGAAGCCACTTTCCGTTAATGACTAATCACCTCGTGATCCCCAGGCTCTGAGTATTCTCTCAGTTGCTAAGGGCAGAAAGGTTCTTTCTGATAAGTACTTGGTAGTTTTTGCTGTAAAAGACCATGTTTATCTGCCGTTAGGCGGTTGGCCGAAGTTTGTGGGGCGTGGGATTAAACAGGATTGAGACCATGCAGAACTGAGCCCTGGGGCCAGTTTGGCAGGATACTTTTCATTCACTTCTGTTTTGTTTTTGGAAAATTTATGTGGGAAACTGGTTTATGTTCTTTGCTTTTGAATATAGCTTTGTTTTCTATATGGTTATCAAAATTATTAGTGATTGGTTCCATTTTATTAAGTTCATTAATAACTTTTTAGGCAAAGGGCAATCAGTGTTCATTAAAGAGATGAACACCTAAACAGTCAAGAGAGCAACCAAAAATGTGTAAAATGGAAGATTTCCCTAGAATTACTAAATCTGATACTTTGGCAATGTCGAGTATAAAATGTAAGGTGTAGATTTCTAAAGATTGAAAAAATCCTTTGGCATAATTATGTGGAACACCTGTAGACATTTTTCTGAGACCTTTAGTTCTTTAGGAATTTGTGTATTCAAAGTAGTACATTTAAGAAATATAAAATAAAATAAAAAGATTGAAAACGTAAGAATAAGTAGTTTGCTGCACAACCGAAAGTCCTAATCTCACAGCTCTGGATGATGGATACAATACTCCACGGCTCATGACAGCACAGTTGAGTGACCCATTGTACAACAAAGATATGTTTGTAATTACAGGTTCAGGCCCGAGTGCAGCTGTCAGCTGTCACAGTGTGTGTTCTGTCTGATGTGGAGCAACACTTAACCTTTCCCCCCATTTTCTCGAATCCCTAGGTAGCGTCGCCTGCCTCTGGTGGGACCCTATCCAACGGTTACTCTTCTCAGGAGCATCTGACAACAGCATCATCATGTGGGACATCGGGGGGAGGAAAGGCCGGACGCTCTTGCTCCAGGGACATCAGTGCGTGACTCCCTCCAAGGGGTGGGGAAGGACCCAAGTTTGCGGGGGACAGGGGACATTAGAGTCTTCATTCTATTTTCTCCAAACCCCATCTTTGATGGGCTTCGTAATTTGTAAATACTTTCTGCCAGTCCAGACTGTCTGTTGTTCAGGAGCAAAAGGAAAAAAAAGAAAAAGAAAAAGAAAAGGTTTCCACTTTCTCAGTCCAAAAGTCCAAAGAGCACTTTTCATTTTCCACTCCCGAGTTGCTGTGAAGGTGGGTGTGGGTTAGAGACAGCAGATGAGGGCTTTGGCCTTGGAGGGTTTACCACCACGTAAGGGGGTACTCAGCGGTTGAAATGGTGCCTTACTTGTTCTTGGTTTTCATTCTAAGAGGTACTGTGTGAAGTAACAGGTGGTGAGTCAGCTGAACTGTCACATTGTAACATGTAGACTCTTGCTTTCTAGTCTTAAATTGAAAAGGAACACCTCAACACCCCTCACCCACTTTTCCTTTCTCCCATGTTGGCCAGGCTGTAGCTATTTACTGTGAGCACAGTCAAATAGAAGATTAGCCAAGGACAGGGTCTGTACAAAAATAAACAGTCTGAGGGAACCAGCAGTTAGTGTAATGGCTACGTTGCTGGACTCCCACGTAGTCGACCGCAGTTCGCTTCCCGGACCTGGTGGCGTAAAACTCACACCGGGCGCGTGTGCATGCATGCCCAAGATCCCGAGAGGAGAATGGAGGAGAAGGGATTGCGGTGTGACCATCCCCCCTGGGGGGTGATTTCTCGCTTTCTATCTCTATGTCTCTCTCTGTCTGTCTGGCGAGCGCACGCGCCATATAGCAAAAACCTCTCAAAAAAAAAATAGTCTGAGAGATAGTGTTCTTGGACATCCAGAAGCGTCTGGCCAGCATACAGGCAGCATACACACCCCATTTGTGTGTGTATGCATGTGTGTGTGCTACTAGCGGTGTCCATGGCATTTGGCTCCACGTTCATAGGAATCATGTTCCAGTAAGGGAGTTACCCCCCTCTGTTCTTTGTTTGTGCACAAGTAACTAATTCTGGTGCATTTAAAAGAGAAATCACGTGACTGGTCCAGAAAGCCATCATCCTCTTCTCATCTCTGACCCACAGTTCTTAACAACCAGTCACAAGAAGTGGTGTTTATTTATAGAGCTCTGTATAATAAGCACTAGTGCATAGTTGGTGGTGAAATGCCATTTGCCTTTTTATAGAGCTCTGTATAATAAGCACTAGTGCACGTGATGTTTATATACCACATAGTTGGTGGTGAAATGCCATTTGCCTTGCTAAAGAGGGGAGAGATTTGAGCCTAAATCCAGGTTGCTGTGTTTTTCCCTCATGGAGACCAGTGACTGTTGTGTGTGCTGTTTGCAGTGACAGGGTGCAGTCGCTGTGTTACCTTCAGCTCACAAGGCAGCTCGTCTCCTGTTCCTCGGACGGTGGGATTGCAGTGTGGAACATGGATGTCAGCAGAGAAGAGGTAAGTCTGGGTGATTGGGAGAGATTCCAAGAACCTGGCTTGTCGACTTTCCACCTGCCAGCTCTGGGAGGTAGCTGAGGTGTGGATGGTCCCAGTTCTCATTTTTTGCTTCTGACCAATTGTCTGCAAATATTTTGCATTGCATCCTCCTCTTGCTGGAGAGTTCCGACCATTGGTGAACAACGGGTGGTCAGACAGCATTGCAGAGGTGTACTGAGCGAGCACTTAGACACCGACGTCTTCCAGCACACGTGGGAGTCGGGGTTCGTCATGGAGGCCCTCCAAGCACCCCGTGGTCCGTTTTTTTGCATTCCTGTACGGAGCCTGAGAGGTGCATTGGTGACTGCCCTCAGGGACACAGCTAGGTGCTAGATAGTTTTTCTGGGAATATAATCTATCTCCCTGCTCTTGTTTTCATTGAGTTCCATCCCACTGATCTATGTTGATAGGGTGTTCTTTTCACACAACCTGATTTCTAGCTCAGTTGGACCACTGACTTCTTGTTAGACTGTTTTTTGATAGATGCCTTGGTTTCCCTGAGTGTTCCCTCTTCCCTAAAATGAAGTCATTGGACAGAATGACTCCAGGGTCTCATTTAATTGTTTTGATAGACATTCTAATTATCTAAGTAGCCCCCTTTTAAAAAAAATTTTTGGATAATGCTGCTGTGAGTATTCTTGACCTTGTCACTGTGTGATTGTTCAATTATTTATTTCAGGGAGATTTCTGAAAATAGACCTCTGGGTCTAAGGCTATGAGGATTTTTGTGGCTTTTTATAGATATCAGGTGATTTTCAGGCAGGGTGTCCGTTTTCGTCTCTGCCAGCATTGACGTCATCTGTAGTTTCTGAGAGCAGCTCTAACTTGTGATGTCTGTAGCAAAGGAGTCAATTTAGAGGTTTTAGGGTCCGAGGCATGTTTGCGACTGTGAGTTTGACTTCAGAAACTTGTGTTGAGCACAATGAGAGACTTTGCCGAAGTGACCTAAGGCATCGCATTGCAGTACAGACTGCCGTGTTGCGTGACACACATCACACGATCTGTTCTGCGTGCCGTCCTTTGACACGTGGAGTTCAGTGTGCTGTGCGCCAGTGCACTTGCAGAATTCCCACCAGCCTCTGCACCTGTGTCTGCTCGCTGTTCCCTCTAGTTTTGTGTGGGCTTGATTTTCACCGAGCACACCTTTATCTTTAGCAGACGCCAGCAGAAGTAATCAAGGAAGGTCAAGCTATTGAAAAATTAGTGGCAGACTCACTTTAGACTTTATGGCTACCATGTCTTATGTGCATAGATTTTTGCTTATAGCAAACTTGATAATCTGGGCCAGCCCATGACACAGTAGTTAAGGCTGCTGGATCTCACATGGTTGACGGCACAGTTTGAGTCCTGGACTCAGTGTCTTGGGAAACATGCCAAGCCCATGTATGTGCATGCCCAAATTCCTGAAAGGAGGGAGAATGGAGGAGAAAGGGTTGTGGGGTGGCCACTCTCCATGGGGAGTACTTTCTCACCACCTCCTCCCCTTCTCTGGTGAGCGCACATACCCTCTGGCAAACATTTTTTAAACTATGGAAGGAAACAGGTAGTCTGTAAATAATAAAGCTGTCCAGAATAGAGACATACTGATTGCTAGGTTTTTTAGTAACCTTGAAGGACAAGTCAGAGTAAATTCTGATTAGTTGTCTGCTGGTTAATTTTTATTTTGAATTCTCTAAAACTCTTGGTAAGCCTTAGGGTAACTTGAAACATATATAACACTAGCTCTATATTATAGGGTCTACTGTATTGATACTTTGTTTGCAAAGATCTATTTGAGCCATGCTTTGTATTTATCAGCTATGACTTATGTGCACCAAGAACAGCTAGTCCTGTTCTGTGTCCTGGGCTCTTGGCTTGCCATTTCTCAGCCTTATTCTGAGAGAACAGGAACGTCAGAACACAACCCTTAAATAACGAGAGAACAAAATCCGTGGGGCCCAGCACTACTGGTGGCTTTCCCAGGGCTTTAATAGCTTGGATTTCAACCTGTTGTTCTTACCCTTGGTGAGTTCTTTTGGAAAATGTACTTAGAACATAGAAGCAGGATTCTGCCTTCAAGGTTGCACCATCATGGGGTGTATTTATACATCGAGGGGAAGGAAAAATAGTCCCGTCGGTCAAGGTGCTTCCTGTGTGGGTAGTTCACTTCCTTTTTGTCATCTTTGGAAGAGGTGGGAAAGCAAATTGTGTCAGAAAGATGCTTTGTTTTTTTAACTAAGGTTTTATTTCTGCTTCTTGTAACTAGCGGAGTAAATGTAGCACAGAGGTAAGCAGCCTGGGAGCTGTAAGATTCTGACTCAGAGCAAGGGTTTTCTACAATTTATAGAATCTCTTCAAGCAATGGCATAAAGGATCGATCCTGATTTTCTGGCCCCTCAACGCTTGCCTTCAGTTTCTTTCTAAGTCACTTGTAAATGCTGACTGGAGAATTTGCAACTCTGTTTGGTTTTCAGCCACCACATAATCAGGATGGAAGGAAATTTGCCTCCCTGCCAGATGGTAACTAGAGGGGCTCCTTTTTTGGAGGTAGACGCAAAACATAAATAAGCAAGTAACCATAATTAAGGATCGTGAGCCTCCTGTTTGGGAACTGGTAGATGGCAGGCTGTGGACCACCTCGCCAGTTAGTGCAGAACTGATGAGCACGGCCACCGGCAGTGGCAGGGCAGTGGCGTTATTCTTGTCTCGTTGTCTATGTTCAGATTAGGCAGGTGGAGTGAGATGTGGAAAAGGAGTGAAGCCATCAGAATACTTGCTTAATACTCTCTTGACTTCTCTCAACACAAAGCAAACCTTTTTTTTCTCCTTAGACAAGTGCTTAGCAAGATGGCTGATGACAGCTCATGCCACTAAAATATACTGAATTCTGTGTATGCGATGAAAGCAAGCTCTGGGCATTTCATGTTTTAAATTGTGTTCCAAAAAGCCCGTTTATTTCTGATTTTGAAGTTTAGTTACCTAAAAGTGTTTTAGACATTTGTTTCGTTCCCTTTGACCCCTTTACCTTCCAGCTCAGGAAAGTAATATTCTTTCTTAACTCTTTAGCCAGAATCATACTCCTGAGAGCAAAGGCTTGGTTCTCTTGGCAGTCGTGCCCCAGAGCCATGTTTGCAGAGCCTCAATGTGAGTAGGCCCCTTTTGCAGAGGCTGTGCAGAGTGTAGGGTCCGAGCAGAGGGATGTGGGCTGCACACCTGCGTCTCCAGGGTCTACGTACTGACTGAACCATGAACATTCGCTTCAATCTCTCAGCCACTGTTTCTTCGTCTGTAAAATAAGGGTGCTGCTGCTCTGCGTCTCAGATTGTGCTGAAAATTAAGTGAGATAAAGCAGGGAAAACGCTCGGTACACTGCCTGGGTGCAAATGGCACTTCCCATATACCAGGCACTATTCAGAGCACTTCGCAAATATCAGGTCATTTCATTCCCACAGCCTTCGGAGGTGTATACCGCCGTGACTGCATTTTTTT